GTTTAGAGTCAAATAATAATATGAATATGCTACAAACTTCCTGATTTTACCATGCACATTTAGCCCGGCATAGAATACATCATCGCGAAAAGCGACACTTAATGAAATCTCGTAAACTCCGATGTCAGAACATGTCAGACACGGACTGCATCATTGTCACTACTATGTTCTCAATACCTGCTATGTTTAACAGTTTTTGGATTTTTTTGTGTGTATTATGAATTTATGATTAATCATTTTTTCCTGGAAATAGTCGCATTTCGGCTTATTTGAAATAGAAAAATCCATGTCCGTACGAATAAGTCACGCAGTCTATTCATATGAAAAAAAAGCAATGAAAAACGTAATTCAAAATTTCTAAAAGTAATCTAGTTAACCGTGATTTGAAAAAATTAGATTGAGTCGTGAAGTCACCAAATTTCTAGCCGTGAGTCGTGATGCGTACCACCCCATTGAGAMCCTCGTGTATGGGAATGGGCAGGCGTGGAGAAGAATAAAGAGACGAAAGGATGGAGAAACTCGAGGATAAGAAAATGAGTAAAAGAGTTAGCATCGGTAGTTTATAAAAGGGATAAAAATAGAAACATAAAAAAGTGAGTGTTAATGTGAGTCTTTTGACCGAGAGTAAATTGAGAATTAAATTCTTCACTTAAAATTCGCCGTCTAAATCAAATGCGATATTTAATCATTTAAGTCGACTAAAATAGGATATTCGGCACACGTGAAGTTCTTCGYATAGYGCGGGCCTAAAACTCTCTAATATAATTGTCCAGTCCACACAACGCGTCGATTAATTTCGCTCTCGACGCCATTTACTTACTGACAACCAGCCAGAGCTVTTAACAATCATCATGTTTGACATCCATTAGAGATATGATTGACTACGACCGACATGTTTCAATAAATCTGTTRTGTATCGTAAGCTAGATGCTAAGAAATTACTCTTTATTCTAGTCAGAATTAATGGGGGTAATGATTTGGAAACCTTTTGTTGTACTTCTTTTGTACATCTTTTGTATGTATTTTAAGGTTGAATCAGTCAAGACCGTTTTGGATGGAAAATTGCAGTGAACATAAATATATGAGATAATGAAATGAAATATTTCAATATTGGTAAAAAAATCGTGCATTTTGAAGAAGTAGTCATAGAAAAAGTTTCGCTCTGTTCATACAGATGACCAGTATGGCTAAAACAATAGTTAAACAAAA